ATACTGTGTCCTAATGCCCTTAAAATATGCTGTTTCCATGCTCACCAAAATAAGAAACAATTTCTCAAAAGCAAGGCTATGTGTGTGTATGTATATGTCTTCATACAGGTCCATGGGTGTGGTTGTGACGGTGTCATGGTCAGACTTATCATGGAGCCATCCCAGACGATAAAAGTGCATCCTGACCCATTTTGAACCTTTTGTCGTTGCTGATACGTTCGACCTGTTGTGATGCTCGTGCATTCACCACAGTGGATGCACTCTGTCTAGGTCTTCAATTCAAACCTCACTATAGTGTTTCACAGGACAGTGGGGAGCTATTGTGTTCCCTCACTTACTTTGTTATGCTGTAAATGACACTGGCTTGTTCATGCTGGTGCTGGTTATAGAAGATATTGCAAGCTTAGATCAGCCACAGAGATTTGTACCTATAACTGTATACATATCTTGATTTAGTTCATTATTGTCACAAAATATCAGCAGCTAATCAGCGGGAAAGTTAATATGTGTCTCTGCTGTAGTGTCCTTGAATCATCTTCATGATTTCCTCTTCTTATGTGATGTGCCCTCACGTCTCTGCTGTGGTGACATGTTGTCAAAGCAAACTGTCTGTGTCTCCACTTGTAATATAATAAACATGCACTGTTACTTATGTACTGTTATTATATTTCTAAGATTATAGGATTTATAAACCTGATTGTCGGATTTAATTGAGATTTATTCACATGTTTTTTTTCTCTTATACAGACCAAAATATTCCAAAGAGGTACACTCAGTCTATAATGAATTATTAACAGACAATTGTAATTATAAGTATTATTGGTCAAAATCTGAATTTAATTTAATTTGATCATTTATTCCCCTTTGACCTGATCAGATGTAGGGAGAGGAGGGGGACGTGGACCAGGATGTGAAGTAGAAGAAAGGAACTAGCAATCCATACACACATAAAACAGAACCAGATTAACATCTCGGTCAAATCCTTGTTTTAGGAGGGCATTCAAGTACTCTTGACCCCCCACAAGGCGTGATGACGGCAATGAAGCTCCACAGACTCAATCAGACTGATTTTGACTTGCAGCCAAACACTGAAACATTTCAAGATCTTTATCACTTATCTTATCCTCCTCTTCATCTTCTCCCATCTTCGACCCAGGTTTCCAGGATGTCCACGTCATGATCTTTGTCGGATTTGGCTTCTTGATGACATTTCTCAAGAAGTACAGTTTTGGCGCCGTGGGTTTCAACTTCCTCATCGCTGCCTTCGGCCTTCAGTGGGCCCTGCTCATGCAAGGCTGGTTCCACTCTCTGGACTACACTGATGGAAAGATCAAAATCGGAGTAGAAAAGTAAGTTTTATTCTCGGTCAGTTCAGAGATTCCATTCTTTTATTCCACCAGCATTGTTTCCATTGGTGAGGTGGAGAAACCAGTTTGACTGACATGATCCCAACGGGACTGTATGGACGTAGTGTTTGTGATCACGGTTGGGTGGAGGGTAAACAGAAACTCAAGGTGATGAGAAGTGACGATATTGTTGAAGGGAGGCAAAGTCACTGTGTGTCAACAGAAAAGTGTTTCTCAGTTTCTCTGAGTAAAAAGTGAAAGAGATAACGTGATAACTGAATCAGGTTCCTCAGAATAACACAACTGATCTTCAGTATTTTCTTATTTTATATTCGTCCAGTGCAGATTACAGATGATCTCATTCTGTCCCCTCCTCAGTCTGATCAATGCCGACTTCTGTGTGGCTGGCTGCTTGATTGCGTATGGAGCGGTGCTGGGCAAAGTCAGTCCAGTGCAGCTGATGGTTATGACTCTGTTTGGCGTCACATTGTTTGCTGTGGAGGAATATATCATCCTGAATCTCATTCATGTAAGTTGAAACCATCACTGGATGTTATTAGGAGGAGGTGATGTTTTCTCCCTCATGTCTGTTTGTTGGTTTATTTGTTTAGAAATAAGATTTTTCAAAAGCCACTGGATGGAAAAATCACAAAACTTGGAGGAAGGATGCATTAAGGGTCAGGAAAGGCGCATTTCTATTTTGGTGTGAATGATTCTATTAAAGGGGCTGATTTTTATGTGTTTTTTAAATAAACAAATACAAATCTGGATGTAGTGAATTAAGATGTGGTTTCATAAGGGAATGTTTGGTCTTGGTGGAGGTATGAGCTCCACTGAGTGACATTCTTTCAAAATTAGAGAATACCTCCCTGTGTTTATGGAAGAGTTGCCTTCAAGTTCTATTCCCAAATCCTTCGTTTTGTTTGTTAATGTTTTAGAATCTATGTCAACTTGCAGCTGCTCAACATCTTTTTCTAAAATAAATAAATAAATCTTCACCAGGAATTAATTGAACAACTGTTGCAACAACTAATGCAGATATTTCCTCTCTGGTAGGCCAGAGATGCTGGAGGCTCCATGGTGATCCACACATTCGGAGGTTATTATGGTCTGTCCATCTCGTGGATGCTCTATCGGCCAAACCTGGAACAGAGTAGTCGTCTGCAGGGCTCCGTCTACCACTCAGATGTCTTTGCTATGATTGGTGATTACAGCTTTTCACCTTTTATTCTCCTTCTGTTGTTGTGGTGCTGACTCCCTTCTCTCTGCACAGGCACCCTCTTCCTGTGGATGTTCTGGCCCAGCTTTAACTCCGCCATCACGGACCATGGGGACGGGCAGCACAGAGCGGTCATCAACACCTACCTGGCTCTGGCCTCGACCGTGCTCACGACTGTGGCCATCTCCAGCGTCTTTCAGAAGCATGGAAAACTGGACATGGTAAAGACGAGCACGTGTGAACAACCTGGTTATGATAACTAGGAGTATGGGTGTTTGTTAAGTAGGTAATACAGGTTCTGTTTGCAAAGAGCACCTTGTTAAATACTCAGAAATGACATGTATGTCTTTGGCACCGTCTGAACAAACTTAAACTTCTCTTGAAAATATATTCTATTTTTTTTCTTGACTGATTTCTCAGGTTCACATCCAGAACTCTACTCTTGCTGGAGGCGTTGCAGTGGGAACAGCAGCAGAGTTCATGCTGATGCCCTACGGATCACTGATCGTAGGATTCTGCTGCGGTATCCTCTCCACCCTGGGATACATCTTCCTCACGGTGTGGCATCTGTCTTCATCCTTTGATGGCTGCTTTTGCTTCTCTCGCGAGCCCGTCAGCATGTTCTGAAACCTGAGCAAAACTAACCTGTTACGATTTTTTTTAGCAAATTCTAAATGATTTATCTTTCTCAGCCAATCATGGAAAAGTACCTAAAGATCCAGGACACATGTGGCATCCATAACCTCCACGCCATGCCAGGAGTCATAGGTGGAATTGTGGGAGCCATTACTGCGGCAGCGGCGTCAGAGTCAGTTTATGGCGCTGAAGGGTGAGTGGTCTTCACTTACAAATAGGAAACTAGCAGTCACAGTGGTTTTGATTGTTTAAGTAGAAATATTTGTATTCTCGTGGCCAAATATATATAAATATATGTAATGTCACTGTCATAGAACAACAATGTGATTTGCCTCTTCTCTCTATTAAAGGCTTATTAACACCTTCGACTTTGAGGGAGCTTTTAAAGACACACCACCCACTCGACAGGGTGGTCTCCAAGCCGCAGGCCTCTGTGTGGCCATCTGCTTCGGAATAGGCGGAGGCATCATCGTCGGTCAGGAATAACCACTGAAACTTGAGTTTAACTGCATGACTGAAAACATGCAATGTCTACACGTTAATGATGTGTTAATAATATGACGCCACTGTGTGTGAACAGGAGGTCTGTGTGAACAGCGTTGACAGGCTCTGTGTGTTGTACTCTTCTTACAGGTTGTATCTTGAGACTACCGATCTGGGGAGATGTTGCAGATGACAATTGTTTTGATGATGAGCCCTACTGGGAGGTGAGGGATGCATCTACACGATCATTAAAACGTTTCTGTAAAAAATTCCATATCAAATCACATCTCTTTCTGTCATTCATCCCACAGTAAATGAGCATGAGGGACAAAAACAACGAATATTTTCATATCCACGTTGAATCTGAGATATATGTAGTCTCGACTCTGCTTCACTGGACTGGATAAATTCAAAAAATAGTTTTCACATGTTTCTCATTTTGAGTTTTTAATGTGATGCATCCCAGCAGGACTTGGTCCACACTGGCTCCTCATAATGAAGAGTTACTGAAATACTTGTGCTCAGCTCAGATCACAGCAGATAAAATAAAAAGCCTCCAATCCGAAGGTTTGAATCAGAGACTCTGATTGGTCGGAACCAGCTCAGTTAAAGTTCAGTTGAAATGCATTTTGCTTAATGGTTGTAGAAACGCATCCTTATGGAGCCACAATGACTCTGATTGGTCAGCACCACATTGTTTGCTGCTTCTCAGTTCATCGTTTTACCGAACAATTTTTTAAATATACCAACAATATGGTACTTAGATCAAAATACTGTATAATAAATAAGGGACAGGTGCAGGCATGAAACATCAATATAATAAGACAAAAGAAAGAAAGAAATGCATCAATAATAAAATTAATCAATAATAAAATGAATGTTAAAAGTAGGGATTGTTTTTAAAATCATATTCTTATATATTTTAGTGCAAGTCTGTTTTTCTGCTGTGATCTGACCTGAGCAAACATTTGAAAAGAATTATTCTAAAGTAAGCAGAATTTCAGCAGTATATATTTAACAATAGTCTCATATTCTTCATGAAAACCATCTTGTTTTACTGTTTGTGTGTGATCCTCTCCCCGAAGTTTTCATCACATCCATTTCTGATGATGTGTCATTCTACCGCCTCTATCGACAAAGAAACTGCTCTTAATCTTCCATTTGCTGACATTAGTGCCCAGGAATCACACATTTTCTTGTTGACTGATTATGCGGTGATCGTTTCGTCTTGAATCCCATCACAGCTCCCTGATGAGGAGGAGATCATCCCGCCCATCCTGCAGTACAACAACCACACGCACAACAAAGATATGTAAGTGCTCAGTTTCTCTGACGACAGCATCCCACTCATGGATTCATGCTGGTCTCATACAAAAACATGCGATGCAGGCAGTGGCACGTGTTGCATTCGGTGTCCTCTTGGTGGCAGCACATCACAGTTTTCAGAAACAATGTGAGACTTCGTTGTGATTCCTGCCCTTTGTTGGCAGGACCTGGTCATGGTGTTGAATACAGTATGAACACACAGTGAGGATGTGGCTGCACACACACGGCACCTCTGACACACACACACACACTCGGGCCTGCTGGTGTCCCCGTCACTGAGCGTGGGCTGGATCACGGAAAGCTGACACAGACCCTGAGCTCTGTGTTTCCCCCGAGCTCTTTGTTGATAGGGGTTTCTCACAGCACAGTTCTGCACGTGCAGCTCTTCAAAGTGACCTTGAAGTCGTGCTATAGTCAGAAAAAAACATGGATTTCATAAGATGTTATATCTTCATTTACAGTGTTAAATTGAGTCCAATCTAGAGTGATGTCATATTGAGGTGGGAGCACAGCAACATGTATAAATCAAATATAACAGCTCTTTAAATTGAGGCTGTATAAGAAAATAAACCTTGACGCCTAACTCTGCCTATTTAAGGAATATTTTAATTCATAATTTTTAACATGTGGAGTTTCATTGTTTCTCACACTTTTTATTTCATTTTTCCAGAGCGGAGTCTAATTTCACTGTGGAGCAGAACTGACGTTAGGCCTCGATCCGGATGGAGCTCATGAAATGCTTCTTTTCTTGCTCCTGGTGAACAGAAATATTTTTTGAATACAATTATTCCTCAACAATTTAATGCAGTTATTTTTCATGCAATCAATATGACTATCAAGGTTCTTTGATCAGTGGAAAAATGTCAGTAGAATTAGATCTTTTCTTTTCTCTACCAGACATTTTTATTTTCAGTTTGAATCCACAATTATTCAATAAAATAGTTAAATTGTTAAATGTTTTCCTTATTTCAACTTTGACGTCAGGTTAATTCACTGAGAGAAATTTACTGCTGCATTTTTCTTGATCCTAATAAAACGATGAGACTCAGTTCTGAACTAAACAAACTTGAACGTGACTGTGACAACGTGACTGTGAGATGAATGTTTGAGACAGTGTGTTGTATTATCTTCGGATCCATTTGAGTTGCACTTCAAGGATTTTCCCGCTTGAGCTTTCACGTCTCAGTTTGTCACGATTTCAATTGTTTGTGACAGACTGGAGGTGAAATCATGGAAACACACAAACAGGCGATTTTGTGTTGAACACTAACTTTGGTTTGTTTGCATAGTTGCATATTTCCCTTGTTGCCGTTAGAAACTGTACATATAAATACAATTAGTCAACTAGTGCTACTTCTACAGGCATTAGCATACAATTTTACTTATACATTTTAATATCCTATATAAAATATGTACAATTTTTATGTACTGCTTATAAATACATCAATCATTTTGTCAAACTCTGATATTTATACATTTAGATACAGTAGAATATTTATCTCTTGTTGTTTTGAAATGTTTCATGTCAGTAATTTTGAATCAATAAAGTATCGTTGATTTCCATTATATATGTGGTGCCTACTTTCTTTAACAAGATTTAACAAGTCCTGAACATAAAGAGGAAGTGTGTTTCCTCAGGCGTCTCCTCTCCAGTGGGGTCAGACTGAGGGTTAAGGTCACACCCTTATTGCTCTCTCGGGACACTGTGGTGACCAAAAACAAACCGGAGATCAGCCTTGTCAACACGACCTCAGGTCAAAAGATGGCTAAAGAGCCGGGTCACTAACTGGGCTGCACACATATGCTGGAGTCAATCATTTTAACTTCGATTCACAGAGAGAATATCTCTGGATTCACATTGGTGTTATCCTTGTACAAGGATGAGTGGAAATGTGATGGCGTACATGCAATCCTACAATATATGGAACAGGACGCCATGTTGGTCTGTAACTACTGAGGATAATTTCACAGAGCGGTTTATTCCTGTAGCCCCTGTCCATCATTTCCTCTCATGACGGCTGTAATTGCCATGTGCTCTGTGTCCAGCCCACCTGGCTGCAGCACTTCACTGGACGGGCGGAGGCAGTGGCGGCAGCAGCAGCAGCGGGAGTGTGGATGATTCCCACACATGAGTAGCAGCAAGGAATCCAGCCTCCTCGCTAACAAAGGCAGGCTTAGTGCTGTTTTCTTTTGTCATCAGTAACGTGTTTGAGTAAAGAAGGTAATGGTGCCACAAGTGCTCCAATTAAACGAGATGCAGCCCTGCTGGGAAGAAAGGCCCCCCCCTTTGCCCTCGATACCCCCACCACCACACACACACACACACTCACACAAACCGGGCCTCTTCCCATCCTACCCCCATGCAGTTCCCACCCCAACACCACTCATGTTTATTCATCAGCCACTTAAAGGGCAAATGCAGAGGCCTGTTAAAACTAACTCAGACTTATTTTAAATGATGCCGGGTCTTTCCCCTCTGAGGGTGAGGGAGCTGGGCGCTGTGGCATCGTGACGACCACGTTTGAGGAGGTTCACCCAAATCTGAACACGAGCTGACCACGGCTGCGACTCCTACGAACCGCGCAGGGACGGCAGAGGAGGAGCAGGGAAAGCGAGAGGCCGCAGAGAAAGTGAGATGGGAAAAAAAAACTTGAGGAGGCAAGGGGGCATGAAAAGGGGGAGGGACAGGCGGAGAATGAGGCCTCACTTTCATTGCTGATGACTGACTGCCTGCCATAGGGGCTCAATCATGATGTTTGATTGACAGGCCGAGGGACTGAGAGGGTGGGAAAGCGGGCGCAGGAAGGGAGCTCAGAATGGGAGCTGTACAAAACACACTCCCATACAGGGGGCCACGGAGACACTCATTAATGATAAAGAACATACCAGGAAAAGCATGTTTTCTCTGCATGCCAGCGATGTTGTTTATAGGTTGAGATTAGTTTGTAATCTTCTATATACGTAAAACGCACACAGAACACTACAGGGAGAAATGCAACGTGGGAGGTCGTGTCGGAGCACCTGGTTGTGGCTACTTGGCTTTTTGTTCCTTTTATTTCTCACCATCGTTCTTAGAAAACAACCTGATATGTTTAACGGTGATTACGTCGCAGGGGCTGCCCATTCATCTGCTCATTTTAATCTCGCCGTTGACAGATATGTGTCAGTCACTCCACAGTAAAACCCGTTGGGTTCACTTTACAGTTACGAGGTACAGCGGTTAGAGAGGAAGCCATGTTCACTCCCTTATAAAGAGAGCTGTAAAAGCCCCTATTGAAAGCATCCAAAGGTCCATAAAACTGTTCATAAACTATTCAAGCCCAGACTCTTTTCTCTCTGTACATAATCTGCTCACGTTCTGTGCAGCGTCACCGACCCTGAAAGGTTATTTCTCAGCAGGTGCACCTGACTTCCAGAACAGTTCTGACTGTTTGGACGTGGACCGCCTTTTTTATGCCCAGTCCAAAAACATACAGAGAGACCATAAAGGCCCAAACACTGTATCTCCCACCATCAGCCCTGTCACATTCACCAGTGGTGTGAAGCAGCCAAGTGCATTCATCTGAAAAACCCAACTGAAGTGCAACTTTTTCGTTTCACTTACTTTCCTATTTTCTGCAACATCTCAGATGGAAATACACTTTTTAATCTACTCCTAATTTGACAGATACACTGACTTGTGACCCTTGTCACATTTTAAAATGATGAGTTGTGGTTGTTCCACCACTTATGATTGGTTTTATAACTTCAACTTCTCATAACATTTTAATTTGTTTTCTATGGACAAAAGTAATTAAACAAAACAATAGCAAAAAAATTATAATATTAAGAATTAAGTTTTAGATATCTTTGCTTGAGAATATTGGATATTTTGAAATACTTTTAACTGCATTTATGTGCCATTATATTACTGCAAAAATATTTCTATTTTTTATGTATTTGGTTAATACTTCCACTTATAATCATGGTATTGATACTTTTTTATGAAAATAAAATCTTTGATTTTTCTTCAGGCACTGAACCAGTGACTCAACCCTGAAACTGGGAACCACAGCGTTACAATGCTTTAAATGTGAAGCATTTAAAATCAGCTCAACCTTTACCAGCTTCAACAATAAATGCTGCTCAACACCAACTAACATTTAATAAAAATATAAAATAAAATGACATTTTGTCAACTCATTTACACAAGTGATTCTCTGGAGAACCAGGAGTTTAGTTCAGGTACTTTTAAGTACAGTTTGCGGATAGTACTTCTGTGGAGATCCTACCTGTAGTGTAGTAGTTTTATATTCTTGTACTGATAATTGAACTACTCATGACTGTTGACCAATGATAGATGGTTTATCTAATGGATGGATGGGTGGATTGATAGCCCTCTTTTGCTTGAGTAAATGATCTGAGTACTTCTTCCACCACTGTCCATCTGTCTCTCCCTGCTCTTTGCACCGATGAACCTCTGAGTTCAGGCGGACCCAGGTATCCCCGGGCCTCCCCACGCCACTAACTGTCCACAGAGGCTGCTTAAGTATCCCTATCGGACCACAGTGGAGAGGAACAGCAGATTAACCATGATCCTATCCGCTCACCGCTAGCCCCTTCATTCGCTCCGTTACACCAGCATTTAAAAGGAGGAGGGGACGCCATTGAGGCCCGTGATATGAATCCCAGACGCAGGGACAAGAACAGAGCTTTCACCCTGTTTCACAGAAAAGACCCCTTTCTGGCACCCTCTAATCCTGGTTGCTACGGGCTTCTGGGTTCAATGGTGGACTCCCGTTGTGAGGGGACAAAGCCTCTCAGTCATGCGGCCATGGTTGCTAGGGGAGGCAGAATGTATGGGGAGGGACGGGCTGCCGTTGTCCCAGACGAAATGTCTCTCTTAAGGCGGCGGAGATGTGGTGATTGACAGGTGGCTACATGCTCCACTGCGGATCATCCGGGAGGTCTGGGGGGGGCTTATATCTGTGACCGTGTGAGTGTGTCAGTTAGTGTGTGTGGGGGTGAACAGAAGGGTTGAGAGCATATAGCCAACAAGGTTTCTGCCACCATGATGGACGTGGCACTGATTATTACCTGTAGAGGGCGCTACCTCAGCTTTAAAGAGATGATCAATCAGCCTGTAATGATCTGTGTTGCTGTGTTTGACTCTTTGACTGCTGCCAGAGTCTCATTACAACTGTGTGGTAATACTCTAGAAAATACTTCAAAGTCATTCCTCCTTCATCCAGCTCATAATATGTTTTTCTTATCATTATTTTACCGTGCAGACTCGTCTATATGCAGAGTTTGATACTTTTTCTACTCTCACCTTAAATAAATTCAAATTTGTGTGCTCTGTTTTTAGATTTTTGAATGAAAAAGATGCAGAAAGTCCTTTAATCAAAGTCCAGTTCATTTAGAAAAACCGTATCAGACATAAAATATAGATGAGTATGGAAAAGTCTTCATCTGGTGATCTTTAAGTAAAAGTAAAGTGTGATCAGATAATTTACTCAGAGCTACCACATATGTTTTAACAGTTTTAACTATATTTTAAATGTTGTTATTTAGTCCAGTGGTTCCCAGTAAAGAGGTCGGGTCCCTGCAATGTGTTACAAAATAAATCGGAGGGAGCGTAGTGTGATTATAATGGTGGAAAGAATGAAATACATGTGTTCCCGTTATCATTTCCATTCATGTTTTTGACTTTTCTTGAATCTTTGTTTGTGTGTGTGTGTGTGTGTGTGTGTGTGTGTGTGTGTGTGAAATAATGTATTATTTTACTTCTTTTTATTTTAATGAAACCATCTGAGAAGTTTAGATGACGAATCTCTGTTGACATGAGATAAGGGATTCTGATAAAAAATATATTTTTGGTAAAGGATCACAAATCTCCAAACAGCCCATATATAGAACAAACAGGTATACTCTACAATTTAGTTAAGAGATATTGGAAAATTTAAAAAAAGGTCATTCCAAGTTATGTATATGGTAAAACTGGAAAATTAACATTATTAAAATAGAATGGCACTCATAGAGCTCATACATCCGTGTTTGTTTAGCTCTTATAAAGGAGAAAAAAACTAAATCCATTTATTTGTCATAAAACATAGTTAAAGAATGTTTAAAAAAATCCTGGATCCACACATTACTTTGCATTTGGCTGAAATTTGTTTTTGTATTTTTAAAATCCTGCTAAAAAGAAAAGTAATCAACAAACAAACACACCTCATTGTCGGAGGTTTACTGAACACTTCAAGCAAGATAAGAAAGTCACATAACTCTATTGACATTTAACTTATAGCAACCGTTACAGTCAGGTGTAAAGATAAAAGCTTTGGTATAAATGAGACACAGGCAAAGTGAATGTTAATTCATAAGAATCACTCGAGGGTTTGGGTTTGTGTGTATCTGCATCTAAATGATGAGTGATATTCAGATTAGTGAGTCTCCTCCTCCAGTGTGGGAACCATCGCCCCGCCGGTCTCC